CTATACCAACTCTGTATAGTTNACTAAAAAGAAAGGAAAAAAAGATACAAGACATAATAGACGGACGCTAAGTACTATACCAACTCTATAGTGAAGAAGCTGTGTATCTTCAGAATGACCTTGATAATAAAAATCTGACACTAAAACAAACAAACAAAAAAGGCAAACAAGGAAAAGATGAACAGAACATATGTTCCCCGGTTGTAATTTATCTAAGTCACAGGCTTAGCCAAATTTTGTAAAAACCTAAATTATCCCAAGTAGTAAAGGCCTCAGTGATAAAGACTAAGTATTATGAAGAAAAAAAAAATACACAAGGCAAACTGAGAGGTAATTAGAGCAGAAAACATTACAAAAGCTTAAATCTCACAGTTTGGCCATTTAAAATCTCAATAAGCCTGTTTCTTCTTTACAAGACACTGGTGATGACTATAAGCAAATGTCAGTCAGCCTACTTTTGGAAGGTTGCTAGTGTTTTGGCTGAACACACTGTGTGTGTGTGTGTGTGTGTGTTTACAGGATTTGCTTATTTAACCATAGTCATTAAAATTTTACAGGAAAAAAAATTTACGACAAACCTTCTGGAGAAGTTAATCAAAATTTCCGATTTCATGCAGCTGAACAAATCCAACAGCTTTTACTTGAACATGACAAAAACCACCTTTAAGTTGTTTGAAAAGCATGAAACAAGTAGTTTTACTTTAAGAAAAATAATGAAAACTTGACACCTATTTGAAAATTGACAAAAAATAAGCAAACGAGAAAAAGTTATCTGCTCATGTTTGTGTCTAGAAAACTAATTTCAGCCATTTGTGTCATTAAAAGCCAGTAACAATATTTTTGACTGCATGGCTGGACTGTTTACAATATTACAAACTTCAGAAAATGCTTGGCATTTATACTCCACTAGGAAAAAATGGGTTGGATCTTAAGGTTTTTTTAAACCTTTTAATATTTTGAGATGTGAAATTGCAAATTCCTTGGGTAACAGAACAAAAAATAATAGTACCTTTCCAGCAGTGAGTCACAATGAAATAATCTATAAGAAATAAGCCAAGTTGGCTACCCACTATTTTGTATGAGTATCAGAAATTTGGCTCATAGACACTTAAGGACACTATATCTCCAAAGAATCCAACTAGTCTCTGAATAGAAACCCTAGCTTATAAAAATTTATTCTAAAATATTCTTATGTAGGTACTCGGTTATAAAGATAACAAATAAGGTTGAATCTGCATTTCTCAAAAATCTTGTTCAGGTTCAAGGCCAAAATGATCATCCTTCTGCATGAGCACATGCCTAATATAATTCCTAATACAATTATAAGCTCTATTAAAGTCAAAACAGTGTTACCCATTTTGTCACTGACAAATGATTTTTTAAAATGCTTTACACAAAAGTATAGTTATAGTTTCTCTTTTGTAAGATATTGAATAAGTTGACTTTGGGGAACTGTTCATATTCCACATATCCTGCAAGGCACTGCACAGAATGCACTGCTCCTGTGATTCCAAACACATCACAGCAGCAAAAGGACAGTAACAAAGAATAGATTTTCAAAACAAAAAAACTCTGAATAAAGACAATTTTATCTTTCTAATATTTACAACTTTTCTTTAAAAATATTTTTATTGCTTTCAGAGAGAGGAAGGGAGAGGGAGAGAGAGAAAGAGAAACATCAATGATGACAGTCACTGATCAGCTGCCTCCTGCACGCCCCCTACTGGGGATCGAGCCCGCAACCTGGGCATGTGCCCTGACCTGGAATCAAACTGATCTCCTGGCTCCTGGGTCAACGCTCAACCACTGTACCACATGGGCCGGGCCTTTTATTTATTTTTTCTTGCCTTATTGTATTAGCTAGGGCCTGCATTCTTTGGTAAATAGAAGTTTTGACGGAGGCCATCCCAAATTTAAAATATCACTACTGAGTATGGTGTTGGCTTTAGATTTTTTATAGGTAATCTTTATCATACTGACGATGTTTCTTTCTATTCCTAATTTGCTAAAAAATGTTTTTTTAATCATAAATGACTATTAAATTTTATCAATGGTTTTTTTCCACTTCTGTTGAGAGATCATATGGGTTTTCTTCTTCATTCTATTAATATGGTGAGTTACAATGATTACTTTTCAAATGTTAACCCATGTTATAGGCCTGGAATATCTGTCACTTGGTCCTGATGTATAATTCTTTCCATATATCACTGGATTCTATTTGGTAATATTTATATGTAAATTACACCAAGGGAGGGAGGGAGGGAGGGAGGGAGGTAGGTAGGTATTGGGTGTGTAAAAGTGAGGATAAAAAATTTACATGCAAAAAAAAGAAAAACATGACAGCAGAACAGAATTATTTAATAGAAGAGTTAGTAATCCTCATTGAGACAATCTCCCCAAAAGGACAAAAAACAAATTAATTTTTAATTAATCATTCTAGGGGGTGTAACAGCCAAATAATACAAGTACCAGAAAGAGGGAACCAAAAGAAAACTTAGAAAACATCAAAAGAGCAATTTTATTTTTTTAATATATCTTTTTTGATTACAGAGAGAGGAAAGGAGTGGGAGAGAGAGATAGAAACATCAATGATGAGAGTCATTGATCAAGCCCACAACTGGGCATGTGCCCTGACCGGGAATCAAACCCCAATCGCCTGGATCCTAGGTCGACACTCAACCGCTGAGCCACGCCCGGCCAGGCTCAAAAAAGCAATTTTAAGAAATTTCCTCAAAATTATGTGTAGTACCTACATTTCCACATTGAAGGGGCCCTGGCAATGTATGGACCAAGAAACAAAATTGCAAAGTTTCAAAACGGTGGGAACAAAGCCAACATTCTGCTGGATGCTGGAGAGAAAAACAAGCCAGATACAAAGAAAAAGGTATGAAAATGGCTTCAGACTCTTCACCTGTAACACTAGACCAACGCCTTCAAAATTCTGAAGTAACGTTACTTACAAACAAGTATTTGTTACCCAGCCAAATTATCAATCAAGGTTATGGAAGAATAAAGACATCTTCAGACAAACAAGATCTACCGCACATCAGCCCCAGCCAGAGTGGCTCAGTTGGCTGCGCGCTGTCCCAGGAACCAGGAGGTCACCGGTTCGATTCCCGGTCAGGGCACATGCCCAGGTTGCAGGCTCCATCCCCAGTAGGGGGCGTGCAGGAGGCAGCCAATCCTTGTTTCTCTCTCCCTCTTCCTTCCTCCCTCTCTAAAAAATTAATAAAAAAATTTTTTTAAAAAGATCTAATACACATCCTTTTTCAGGAAACTTCTTAAGGACTTATTCCATCAAAATGAACACATAAAGCAAATGGGCAAAAGAGAGGAATGGGGTACTGTTTTTCCATTACAAATTTTATGTGATCAGTTGCATATATAACTTTAATGAAAACAAATGTAAAACAATTAGCCAAATACAATAAATGAGACATGTAATTTTTGCAAGTCATAACAGAACATTTAGCTATGTGAACTTACATTTTAAATCTAATATTTTTTAAAGTAAGCATATTATAGTAGTGGGGGAGTCTTTCTTTAATTAAACAAAGTAAATTAAACACACTCAAATCCTACTAGCAATACTAACTTTTATAGCTTTATACTCTCTCATGAAGAATCTGCCCAAAGCAAAAAATTGAAAAAAGCTGAACATTCATTATTGACGTAAACAAAAGAGCTTCATAAATGAAATGAAGGGGCGGGGAATTTTCCTCTGTCAATTGCATGCAAATGAAACAAAGACGTGGCACAGTCCTTCAGTAATAAAGTTCTTCTTGAGTCTAACCACCCAAAGAGAGAGCTGACTATTCAAAAAAAAGGCTTCCAGAAAATAATGTTCTATACTCGTCTTTGTCAAAAGACTTCACCAAAACAAAAATACAACCGAAAATGGAGCAAGGGAATGAGAGTGCAAAGGAGAGACAGAAAAACAGAGCTGAAATCTGTATATGCCACAGAGTTCAACGACAAGGAGAAAAACTTCCACATGACTTCAGGATACTGCCTTACTACGTCCACCCTTCCCATGTCAATTAGGCAGATTTAATCACCACATTAATCCCTAACATATTACTTATGCACATGGTAGTTTTAATAAACATTCTCACCAATTTAGAGAACTAACTGCTTAAAGAACTATAACAAGAAATATTTCCCTACTTCTGGATAAACTTTAAAAACAGAAAGAATTAAAACATTTTCATACCCTCTTCTTAACAAGGTTTTAAAGTACGCAAATAATATTAATAGCATTGTTTTCAGCGCCCATGTGAAAACACTGAGTGAACACAGACAAGTTAATGAGAAAATACAGCATTTAGAAAGCTCAGATCACTAGAGTCAGGAGTTACTTAGGCATCCAAATAGCAGATTTAATTTTAAAATGTACTTGATTTTTTTAAAAAATAAAAATAAAGCATGATACTTAAATACAACATTAAGAAGTATTAAAGCAGAGATCCAAGGTCAAAAGCCAGAAGCTGTACTTCTGACATAGCTGGAAACGCAGGCAGCAGACTCATCTATAATCAAGATGATGATGAAAAACCAAGCTCTCCGAGGCAGCAAGCGTAACTGTAAAGCAAAGCAAGACACAAGAACAACAGAGACCTGGGGAACCCCCAGCGCAGCGAGCTAAACCAGGCACGTAACAAAAGCGGCAGTCAGCAAGGAAGGGGCCTGCAGGGGCCATGCCCCGAAAACCGGGAGAGAAGAGGCTTGGGGAGAGAGCCAGCCAAGTCAGGGGCTCCATCAACATCAAAGAGGGTGAGATAAATCAAAAGCACTGCCGAAAGTGAATGGCCATGTTGAATTGGTTAAGATCACCTATTTCCATCTCAACGGACGGGACGAAGAGTTTATCTTGGGGGAGGAGGAGGGGTAGAGACGCTTGGAAGAAAACAGACTTTAGTTATCATTCTTGCTGTCTGTAGTCCAAGACCAATAAAAGAGAAACTCTGAGTGATTTGTTTCTTCTTAAGGGCTACACTCACCAAACTGCGGAGCAGGCAAGATTCTAGCCGCTCGAATTGGGCCATGTCGGACCGAAAAGAGCTCCTGTGCTTCCCCACTGATCTGCAAGAGAAGGCAGGAAAATTTTCAGTAAACGAAAACACCGGGCGGAACATTAATATATGAAAATGAGATCTCCTAAATTTTACCATCATTTATTGTCTCAAATGTAACACACACACACACACACACATTTATGGTTAATCATACACATTAAATATATTCCTAATTAAGTTATTAATATCTTTCGAAAACTATAAGAGCATGCACTTGATATGACTAGCAGAACAAATGGTCTGTTCTGGAAGTCTCTTTAATAAACCACTATAAGTCAGCGCAGGTCCTGCAGGACTGCCTTCCATTTTAAAGCAAAGCAACTATGATTTTTTATTAGTATTCAGTTTCCCATACAAGAAAAAAGATAAATACTCTTAATTATTTTCAAAAGTAGATCTTAAATGTTGTAGTAAATCTCACAAATGCATTGTAAAAGAGAAAAGGCAAAATACATTGCAAAGAACACTGAGGTGAAATGTCAATGACCTAGTTACCCGTTAGGGTTCTGCAACTACCTGTTAACGACTTTGAGTAAATCATTTAACCTCTATAGAAATTTTTTATATTCCTTTTTCTTTCTTGAACACATTTTAATAAAAGTTGTATATATTCAAGGTGCATAATGGGATGAATCAATAGACATATACATAGTAAAATGATTACTGCAGTCATCTCCTGAGAGTTACCTTTTTTGTGTGATGAGAACACCTGAAATCTACCTCTCAGCATTTTTCCAGTATTCAATACAGTATTATTAACTATAGTCACCATGCCTGAACATCAGATCTCTGGACTTATTCATACTAAATGACTACAACTTTGGACCCTTTGACCAGCATCTCCCCATTTCCCCCACCTCCCCTCCCCTAAGCCTATTCTTTTGCATTTATAAACTGAGAAGGTAAAGGTGCTAAAAGACAAAGGTACTTTTAATTTCAATATTCTATGAATAAAAAATATGGAAGCATCATTAAATGTCATCATTTTTATTATACACATAACACTATATAATGACCATTTATTGAGTCACATCAGATTTATTACTCAGATATAGAGTACAGTAACCCATTAATCCACAAGTAAAAGGGATATACTAATACATGTGTCAAGTGTGGAAAAACAACTGTTTCTCAAAATTAGTGATTCAAGAGAAAAGTTTGTTGCTAATTGAAATATTGAGTAGATTAAATTTGAATTAGTTGAGAAAGGCCTTCCAGACTGCTTTAAGTGGTAATGTAGTTCCCAATACATTTTTATTTTTTTCCCAATACATTTTCACAATTGTCAATTGTTTGATGGAATATGTAATATCAGATAGGGAAAATGGCAAACATTATACAACTAGTTCCAAATACTCAAAAACTTTAAACAGATATAATAATGATAAACATTCAAGAGAGGAAACATGCTGATGGTATTTTTTTTAAATAGGCCTGCCAGACAAGCAGTTTAAGATATCAACAGTGTATACATTATAAAATAAAAGGCTTATAAATCTTCCAATATTAAACTATAAATCTGTAGAGCTGCCTTTTAGATTAACTACTTTTTTAGATCTTCATCTTCTATCAGAATTTAAGTGCAGCAACCTATAAATATTTTTGTTTCTTATAAATGTTAAATTATGGTAATGCCTAAAGAGCCATCATACTCATTTTGCTTATAAAAATTATTACAACTTATTTATTGGCCACAATGGCAAATCCCTCTAATAGCACCTGGGATGCAGAGATATCAGGAACGCTTGGCTCTCAAACTAACTATGCAACAATAGCACCACCTATCACCAATTAAACACAAAGCCTATAAACTCAGCATAGCAAACTAAGAATTTTCTTTCTACAGATTCCTTTGAGAACATGAATTTTGTAAATGAAAACCATGGCCATTATATACTGTAGCTCTTAAGTCTACATTTCATTATTATAGAATAAAATTTTAAATTTAGAAAAACCTTTAAAAGTCCTTTTGTTTGACACCCAAAGCAGTAATTACACACTGTCTGACATCTAAAAATCACCATCTCTTTGATTTTAAGCATACTTTCACTGAAGGGATGTCACTAATGTTATCCAGTTTTATTATAGATTCATTATTGGCTCTCTCCACCAAACATGCCAAGTCATTTACTTCTGGAAAATAAATTGTCTGTTGGGCAATGGATAAATAATACTCTTCTTCAATATACATATTATTTCTTATATTAACAAGGAAATAAAAAATAGAACTTGCATTGAAATTGTAATCAGAGTGCTGAAAACCACTTCCCACTATCACAAATAACGTTTATACCTATAACAAATCATAGTACTCTAACACAAAATCTGCCCTATTCTATTATTTCCATATGCCGCAGGTCTAGCACTTAACTTTTGGTTATATCAAATAAAGCCCTAAAGTTTAAAAAAATTAGTCAGGTTTAGCTGAGCTGCTGTACTAAATTACACTAAATAAAAATAAGAATGAAACGAGCCTGCCTTGGCATACTCACAATATAACAAACATTTGTTATCACTGGACTGATACACAAGAGCTTACTTTGATACAGAAAAACCTTCGGAAATCTCAACACACAATGTTTTTCAGAGTAATGGCTTTCAAAACAAACCTAAATGCCAGCTCCTACTCTAAACCCCTCTTTAAATGTACAGCAACAAACAGGTAGGAAAAATAACATTAGGACTGATTATAAAATGCTTCCTCACATTCATTACCCATCCTTTACTGCCTCTAAGTTAAAGGTCCTAGAAGCTTTGTTTAATTATAAGATAAGGGAAGGAAGAGGGGAAGAAACATTGTCACTATTTATAGACATTTGTGAATATGTTAAAATCAAGATTGGTATAAGCATAATTCTAAAGTATCCTAAGTGAGTCATAAATGTCAGGCTTCCCAGAGAGAACAGTGTGTGTAAGTTCTATCCTGGACTATTCTAGAACAAAGACACCGCTAAGAACGTGTATACAGATAAGATGGGCACATTTTAGAAAGGACACAGAGGATGGATATGTCCTTACAGGCTCTGCTTTAGCTGCCGTTTTCGAGTGCCTCTAATATTTTATACAGTATATGTTCACTGGTAATTTTGCTCTCAAGTAAGTGTCAAAACTGATTACATTTATTAAAGGCTTTCAAAGCGATTTTTAGGTTTCTTAAAGAGAGCTCACTGAAAATGGCAAAGAACCTCAGGGATGAGGATTTTCTAGATCCTAAACAGAATCACCAGGAGCTGTAAATTCACTTTTAAACCAACAATAATAATAAATCCAAGGGCAGAGCTACAAGGAAGGAGCGCACCGAGCAATGTTCCACCTTCCTGGCAACTGCGGTTACTTGGGGAGAGGAGGAAAGCTCTCCAATCGCTCCTCATGGGTCTTTGCCTTTGTTCTTACTGGCATTTTAATTTCTGATGACAGACTTTTGTTGTTTGGAGCATAAACCGGACGTACCAGTTTGGAGGCACAATAAGGAGAACAAAGAATGATTTGTTCACACTGTAGGAAAAAAATCTTTTCCAACCATAGAAAATAGCTTTCGCATGGTGAAAATATGCAAATTACATACCAAACCAAAAAAGATGGGGGGAAAGTACAAGTTTAGAATCTCACAACTCAATCTAAGGCAAGAGGAAATTATAACAGCCGAGACAATAATACATACAGAGAAAAGGCTATAAAAGTTGTGGGAGAGCTTTATAAGGGCTTTTAGAGAGTTCTAAAAGCAACTGAAGGTCAGCTAGCCCTCAGAACCAAACTGGTTTCTGAAACCCTGATGGCCCTTCGGACATATCTGACTGCAAAATAGAAAATTCAATCAAATACCAAGGACAATAACACTGATGCTTCACAACGACGCAGAATCAGGACAAGAGTACACATTTACTCCCCAGCTACCCTTCAGACACTGGCCAAATGGAGAAGTGTGGTCTGCAATTGATTCTTTTTAGCAAACTTTATTAAAAGAGGACAGACATAAAAATAACGCATCAATCATATGCATAGGTACAACTTAATAAATTTCCAATGTTAATACACTTCTGTTACCAGCACAGACATAAGAAACAGAACATTAAGGGGCGTCCCCCACGCCCCTTCCCAGTCACAAACCCATCTCAAAAACCATAACCACTATCCTGAACTTGTAATACTTACATAAGTTTTACTTGTAAAACTTTATTTAAATGAAATCACATGTTATGTATAGTAGTTCCCCCTTATCTGTAGGGATATAGTTCCAAGACCCTCAGTGGGTGCCTGAAACCATGGATGGTACTCAACTCTGCATGTACACCATTTTTTTCCTATAATACATACCTCTGATAAAGTTTAATATATAAATCAGGCACAGTAAGAGATTAATAGGAACGAATAAAATAAAGCAACGATAACAATATACTATAAGAAAAAAATTTTTTTCAGATTATCCTTCGAACCAACTGTAAAAACTTGCCAAATACCTCATTAATTAATGAGTTAAATAAAACTTATGACACATGCCCAGCCAGGCGTGGCTCAATGGTTGAGCATTGACCTAGGATCCAGGCGATCAGGGTTAGATTCCTGGTCAGGGCACATGCCCGGGTTGGAGGCTCCATCCCCAGCAGGGGGCATGCAGGGGGCAGCCGATCAATGACTCTCATCATTGATGTTTCTCTCTCTCTCCCTCTCCCTTCCTCTCTCTGAAATCAATAAAGATATTTTTTTTTAAAAAAAATTATGACGTGTCCATTTTATAGTTGTGAGCATCATGATTTTACCATTTTTAAAATAATGTCATAAAAAATACTACTATAAATATTCTTGCACATGTCATTTGGTGGACACATTTCTTCTGGGTGTGCTAGCTTCTATATTAGAAATATGTGCATATTTGGTAGATTTTAACAAAATATTTTACCCGTTACATTTCCACCAGCAATGTCAGAGCTCTGCCCGCTGCTCACCCTCTCCAGCAGTTAGTGCCGGCCGGCCGTTCCGGTGGGTGTTCAGTAGGATTCACACTGTGGT